TAGTAAATACTCAAAGCTAATACGTTACACTAACAAATAATAACCCATGCCACTGAGTTTTCTAGCGCCGTTATGCATGCGCTTTAGCGTGTGTCAATAGACAGAAGACAAGTCCAACCTAGTATTTAGAGTTGCTTCCCTTTGATCACCCAAATTGTTGTCAAAGTGAAATTGCCTCAGTTTGTACTATTTGTCTTTTTATGGAGTTATTCCCACTGAACATAGTGCTGGCCAATGAGACAGACTGACACAGCTATACATGGATAGGCTTCTATCCCACACAGGCACATTTTTGTTTTTCCACTCTGAGCTAAAAGTGTCATATATCCCTTTAATGACGAGAGCCGGGCACTTAACAACAAGTACATTTGGACGTCTGTTGGTATGACGAGACCGGGAATCGAACCACGGAAGCGGTAAATGGGTTGATGGGCTGGTCCTGTATAGCAGCGCAAATTCCCCACGTGGTACAATGTGGAAGCCCATCTTTTATGAGAGATAGCTGTGGTGCTTTCAATATTCACCCAGTTCCACTGAACGTCAGAATAATATATTAATAGGGTTGGTTGACGTGAGACAAAGCGAGGTTTGTATGGATTAACGAATATGCTAGTTTTAATAGTCACAAAAACAGGGTTTGTTACTGTCGGAGACTGGCTGATGGTCGACGTCCAGATACAGGCAATCAGGTTCTAGAAAACATGTACCTGGAGTGAGTGAGTTTGATCTAACGCTGCCGTGAACAGTGTGTCAGTTGTACCTCGTCAGCTTGGTGGTAGAGTGAGTTTAGTTTAGTGAGTATTAGGATGTAATTATTAGAGTGAGTGAGTTTAGTTTTACGCCGCTTTTAGAAATATTCCACACTGTACCAATTTGTGGAATCGAACTCGGCTTTCGGCGTGACAAGCAGACGCTTTTACCACTAGGCTAGCCCACTGCACCCATTGGTGTGAGAGAAAAGCCCGAAGTCATACGGGTCTGAGAAGTTTAGGCGCCACAAAGACTCCGCTCTGTGACAAACTGCGGAGCTTTAGACGACTAGGACACCCGTGCCACCAAAACAAAATTTCTATTCTCGAGAATAGAATACTCAGTTATTTTTTCTCCCTCATCTATCCAACTTAGCTCTAGATCGGTCAAGTACACCTTTGATCTTTTTCTGACGGAGTTCCTGCAACTCTTTGCGTTTACTAGAAAGAGCATCAACATTATGATCAGTGAGGTTTAACTCCCAATATTCGCGTTAACGCAAAAACCTGCGTGTTTCACGCAAATAAATTTACATTTCACTCACGGTATTTTCTACCTGCGTGTTTTGCACGTTAAGCATTTTGTTTTTCTGGGAACAAGTAACCGAAAAACGTATTTTCCCCAAGGAAAGAACAAAATAAAATCAAGTTTTCCTCAGCTAATTTGACTTGCGAATGATGACATCATGCTTCGGCCCTCCGAGAGATCTCGCCGAATTCAGGCTCGGGCATACACCTGCGGTGCATGCACACGCAAGATTCTTTTTGGGAACGCAAGGCGTTTTTACTACCGCGATCACTGACTCCAGTAATTCAATTTCTTTGATTAAAGACTCATCCTGTTTTGCTTTTTAACTTGTTTACAAATGAAGCAAAAGATAATGTTTTATCTCGGATTTCTAGTAAAAGAGTAAAAAACAACTGATCATTGATGGTAAAGTCAAGCTCAATATTAGGAATATCATCTATATTTACAGTGCCATCAAGCTTAGAAACATACTGTTCTTTGCTACATCAAATATTGCTGCCTACAGCTTACTGGTTGTGATTAGAATGATTCTTTACATACATAAACTTCTATAGCCAAATAATCTAAACAAATGTACGTATACGCACAACTGTTGCTACCACGTACAACCCATGGCCATAATATACCTCGTGACATTCTAACCAATGTTATTTCACTCAGGTCTTTCACTCGACACAACATACCTAATGAACCGGACTGTCGATAAGTGTTCCAGCATGCGTTCATACACATAGGCATTGTAGGCATTGTGATGGCAACTAAACTCTGACTTGTTAACGCAGTGTTATAGAGCCAACCAATGTACATTCATAATAATATACACCATAGTTGATTAAAGCTATACACACGCAGTCATTTGTACCTATGAAGCAATTCGCTATTCATCCTGCCAGTGGTACAATTTGTTTCTTTTCAAATAGGACGAATGACAATCTAGTAATGTGTATTGGAGCAGATCGTGGCATTATGTTGCGTTAAAAACGTTATAGGAACGGATCCGAATTTCTTGTCCATCGGGACTTGGCTTTAGTTTACTTCATATTTGTGTATTTCCACTTTGACATATATGTATGTTATTTACCATAGAGAATACATGTTACTATGGATCACTGTTTATGTACCAAGCAAACTGGTCGATAAACTTCTTTATGCTTTCTGTAGACATCCCATCGTGACGGTTTCGGTTCCAAATGTATATGATAATCAAAACCAATTGCAAGATCTACGAATTGCACTGTCTGTAGTTCAACCACACTCACCTTTTTCAGAGTTAATACTGCCATGGCTGCCTTAATCATCAAATGGCGACTTACAACTGACGCGAAGTTAGAATACTGAGTTAACGGGTTAACGCCATACCGGACCGACAGATACTCGTTCTATCATATTCTAGTAATCGAGCCATCTTGAAACAAATCCCCTCTCAGTTTCATCTGTGCAGTCACGCACTTTATCACTGATTACCGTTATTGTCTTCACGTTTTACTTATGTTTCCAAACACATATTTCAAACCAGGCGTCTCACAAACTCACGTACTCATGAAAGTGAGAACGACCGCTGAAAACATATCTAGGTTTATCTTTCCTCAGGTACGCATAACTTTTCCTAATGACATTTTCCGACATATGTCAAATTTATACCCTTCGAATTAACGTTACAAAACTATCAATGTCAGCTAGAAACAATATCAACTTACGTTTGAACCGAAGACCATAGCGGCCGCCATTTTGAATTTCAGACACAGCAAATTTCAGTGTATGAATATTCGTTGAGGCCTTGTCTAGCGTAAATTACATTGCTGTTGGTGTTGTTGTCGGTCGTCAACGAGGGTTTATAGGGGCGTTCCCGTTCAATTTTTGTTATCAATGAATTATTACAGACGCCTGATGTTCATAAATGTCGCCCTGCACGAGCACGTTCGTGTATTGTTTATTCACAATGGCCAGTTATGACACTTATACCCCCTACATGTTTACCGTGCTACTATCTAAACAAAGGGCAAATTGAGAGTAAGCTATATAATACAGGCGCTGATCCGAACCGGGTGATTTCAGATACATGTCTTTGTTGAGGGGCACTTACAGGTTTTGTCGGTGACGATTTACATTTTTGATCTAAGAGGATAAAGCTTGTGACCTTAGGGGTTGAAAATTTACAATTGAATAAATATGTAAATGAGCTTCAATTCAGTAGATACGGAAAGAACGCGGTGGGTGCATGTACTGTGTAGCGATATATATGTAAATAAATCTATACTCTATAGTACGATGAAATATATGACTGTTCCCTATCTCGTCAGGCCGTTACAACTGAATTCGTCTCATGGATTATACGAGTAATATAGTGGTTAACGCTGGGTGAAATATATGCAGAGAAAAGCGAAGAGTGAAATCACCTTACTTCAATGAGAGGGTCTGGCATTACGCCCCCATGGACAGTATATATATAAACATGTAACTATATGACGGCGTGTTGACTTCAGACACGTTCGTAACCCACTCGTGTTATTCCGGGACAAGCCCAACAGCGACTCCAGTCTGAATCTGGTCTCCTTTTCAATTTAAATGGGCTTGTTTGTTACAATCAAACTTATATATATTCAGAGACTAAGCGTTAGTCCACAACAACTCCTGCCCCTCAGAAATGATTTTATATTGGTGTATTAACATCCAAACTACTTGAAACAACAATGATATCTTTATTAACGTTTGATTCGAATAGTAATAGACACGATACAAGCACCAGCACATATAAAGAATAAAGAATTTAAACTCCTTAATATGATACCACTGCTAATAATAACAACAACAAGAATTTGTTGAAAACATATTCTACCGTTATGTTTTTTTTCAGTGGCTCGTTTTATATTATCAAGTATATATATATATTTCTAAATATGGTTTTAAAATTTATAAAGAACAAGTATGTGTCAGGTCAGTGTACATTAACTTCTTCAAATTTCATAGACATTTAAGGATCGTAACTGTGACTTTTTTACTTGAATAGAAAATTTACAAGAATATTTTCCAGCTGTATATGTAATAAATCCCAATTTACAGGAACAAAAGTGTCTAGTTATCTAAACAGTTCAGAGTTGTTGTATCAGTCTCTTCTGTCAGCATTTGTTGGGAGATTTGAATGACAAGAGCTACCTTTAACAGTAAAACATTTAGAATTAGAATGTTCATGATTCGGAATAATGGTTATTTCATTCCATGTGAAGAGGCTTGGTGTTGCAGTGTACAGTAGAATATACGTAAAATATCAACAAAATATTAATTTATGTAGTATCAGTTGAAATCCACGCTTTGAAGCCAAACCGAACTTCATAAACATTTACGTAACTCAAGATATAATGTCACGGATATACGCATCCTTTGTGATTTTAGCGGTTTTACAAAGGGAGATAACTATAAATACCTTTCAGAGTAGACTCCCTTTCAGCGATTAGCGTTAGAAAAGGTAAGTTTTCTATTTTTAGCATGTGCATTGTCGGATGTAGTTATACTCAATGTTTGGAAAATTTCTTTACTATGTATCTGCAAAAAAAACCATGTTTATCGGAGTTGCTAAGGTAACGGTTGCCAAGTTCAAGGGCGGCCATTACGAATCTTCGTTTATCGAAGCGTATCGTTGCTATCACACCTCTGCTTTTTCGAAAGTTTCTACGACATATTTGAGTTCCTTCGCTTTCGTCTTACTGCAGTAGGGTAACTAAACGTATTTGCTGTACAGAATCAGTCTTTTGTTGCTCAAATATTCTCATATGTACTTACTTTTAGCATTTTAAAAGTGAGAGTTCATCCTTGACAACAGACAAAATGTCCTCTTTTCTAGATCATACATGACTGTACATTGTAACGACTAAATGAGCATGTAGGGTAAACGTACACATTCACATTGTATGATAAGTACGGTAAAAGACCGCATGCGCACGGGTTTGTGATCGTATCTCTACACCCGAATGTTTAATGTACATGACAGAAATTATCAGAAAGATGAAAGAAGGACCCAAACAGAATGGGCTCCATAGAATATAGATAGTTTAGATGGTCTCTGTCATTATCTATCCTTGTGATAAAACATATATACGCATATTCATGTACAATTGGTTCGTTAATGTCTACCAACGGCGATACACAGAACTAACTGTGTTTGGGGCCCCTTTGTAGGTGTCATCTTAGAAATAGAGAAAGACGTTTTTCTCTTTTTGTATGGTGTCATTTACCTTGCCCTACAAAACTAGGAGTCCAGGTGATCCAAATGTACTAATTTTAAGGGCACTTACGAGAAATATGATGTTCAAAAGTACAAATGTAGTGCAGTACACTATAAGATGTAATAATTACGTTTATAGCAGAAATGTTATGTTCCTTGTTGAGAATTTGGTACAGCGAACATGATTGTGTGACTTTCGGGAGGAAGCTATATTTATTTTCTGGATCCTGTCAGTACATTTATACCAACTGGATGCACATTTCTGCATGACATGAACTTCAGAATCCTTTGGTTAGGAGACTGTTAGTTGTCACTATTTAATGATAAGGAAGATTCATATTCTAATTTGAATATCTGATAAATTCACTGATCAATTCAATTCAGTTCATACATGATCATGCACGCATATATTCTATTTTACAGATTTCTCTTGTGAGACTTGAGTTTGGAGTTGAATACTCTAGTATAATCTTGAGTTGGAGCAAGAGAGATAAACTGTGAAGGTAACTGATATGAAATGGTTTTGGCACTGGTATCAGACACTGTCCCTCTCACAACTTCAACTTATACAATTACATTCATTTGAAGAAAAAGTGGAAGTAAATGTATTATGATTTAATAAATGTCTCTTTTCTAATAATTTGTACTTAGAATTACATCCTACTACGCTTCAGAACCACAAGATGTTGTGTCCCAATGAGAGTTGGGTGAGCCTGGATGACTTTCAGCCTCGCTGTACCTGTCTCTACCCCCACACAACTTGGACCGATGCAGCCATCCCCTCCGACACCACTAGGCCCATCAGCCCCACTAGCCCTACCCCTAGATCACCCATGTTTGGTAGTAACAGACCAGACAGCCCCATCAGCAAGTATCTAGAAAACCAGGACTCCTTCCTTTATCCAGAATGTCCCAGATTTAATTCATATTTTGACACCAATGATCTAACATCATTTCTATCAGTCACTCCAGATATCTGGTCTGTCAGCCCAGGTGATGAGTCTCTCCCAGCCAGCACCAGCTCCAGCCTGACCAGCCTGAGCTCCACCAGTCTTACTGACCCCTTCCCCAGCTCCTCAACCCTTTTCCAGAATTCGGAGGAGTTCTACAATGATCTACTTCCCTCCCCATCTTCCAGCACCACCTCCTTCAACTATGGTCCCACACCTAGCAGATCCCTGGATTCAGACATGTCAGGTTTGCCAGATGACATCAACCTCTCAGCTACAGTTTACAAAGACATCTGGTTATATAACACCTATGACCTTTTTCAGGATGGACCACTTCTGACCTCAAGCTCCATGTCTCTTCCTGTCAGCCCAGTGAGCAGCTTCACCAACCTGAGTGAGTGCAATGTGTCCTGCAGTCTGACCAGCCTGTGCCACCAAGCAGTGTCACTTCCAGTCCCCAGCAGGAGACCTGGACCCCTGAACAAGATGGTGGATAGGAAGAGAAAGAGAGATGAGGATGATGAGGTGGAGGCCAAGGTTTGTAAGAGGGCCAGGCTATAAGTATGGTAGTCAAATATTTGTTAATGTCTGATGTATCTGTTTTACTAACATTAATTGATTACTTTTCAGTTTTTTTGTATTTTGCTCTCAATGGATGTGTCTTTAATGTCAACCTCTGTTCTACTGTGAGAAAGTAATGCTTAGGCACACTGGATCTTATTGTCCCTGTAAGGTTATTTAACTTCTCAAAATAGGTGGATGCTTCCTCTGAAATTACCTTTGTGAATGGATGTAAGTAACTACTCTAGATTGTTATAACTTAAAGCCCAGTTCTTCTCACTGTCCTTAACTTGTGTTATTCAGCATGCCTCTCTCGTTCTACCTTCCATACATACCTGTCCCTACCAGCGGTCCTTTTTCTGTCCATAACACTTCTAAACCCTAATTCCTGTACTTTCAGCCTGTCATTCAAATGGAAGCCCTAATCAAATGGTACCAAATGATGTAAATAATTCAATCAGTGATTCCTAAAATCAGAAATCTGGTAAGGTAAATCTGGCATTAGCCCCATGGTAGACATCCTCCATAATCTCCAGGGTATAGTTACGAAAAATCTCCACTATAACCTGGATGCATCTATGGCTTGGCCATATAATTTCATTACCTCCCTTTGCTGGCTTTTTATCCAATGAGGTGTCTACGCTCGGAAGTTGAGCGTACCAAATAACAACTCGCTTTCGCTTCTTAAATTATCTAATCGATTAAACTTGGCAACACAATTGATGCAGAGGTACTCTGAAAGAGGTAGAAGGAGTCTAAATCTGAGTCGCACTGCGAACAAACTTTCGCTGCTACGACCACTATCTTTGTTGACACTGGCAAACTCGGTTGTAACGGCGGCTTATCTCATTGGCTACTGTGAGAATGCAGATAGGTGAATACACTAAAGTATAGTTATAATTAAGTGAGTACATATGTTGCCAAAAATGGATTCTCTGAAAGAGTAGTCCATATTGGGTTTTTAAAAAAACTGTGCAATAAAAGAGACTAATGTTTCATTAGACCCTAATGTGTAGACACAAATCAAGGCCAGCACAGGAGCTGTAGGTGTGGCTAGATGGGGAGGTGGAGGCCATAGTTTAGATAGGCTTGTAATTTGTCTACAAGATGTAATGTTAAAGTCATGGTTAGTACAGGTGGTGCAGGTGTGGCTAGATGGGGAGGTGGAGGCCACTGTTTGGATAAGCTTGTAGTTTGTATACAGTGTACAAGATGTAACGTTAAAGTCATGGTTAGTACAGGTGGTGTAGGTGTGGCTAGATGGGGAGGTGGAGGCCACTGTTTAGATAGGCTTGTAGTTTGTATACAGTGTACAAGATGTAATGTTAAAGTCATGGTTAGTACAGGTGGTGTAGGTGTGGCTAGATGGGGAGGTGGAGGCCACAGTTTGGATAGGCTTGTAGTTTGTATACAGTGTACAAGATGTTAAAGTCATGGTTAGTACAGGTGGTGTAGGTGTGGCTAGATGGGGAGGTGGAGGCCACTGTTTGGATAGGCTTGTAGTTTGTATACAGTGTACAAGATGTAATGTTAAAGTCATGGTTAGTACAGGTGGTGTAGATGTGGCTTGAGGGGGAGGTGGAGGCCACTGTTTAGATAGGCTTGTAGTTTGTATACAGTGTACAAGATGTAATGTTAAAGTCATAGTTAGTACAGGTGGTGTAGGTGTGGCTAGATGGGGGTGTGTCTAGGTGGAGGACACAGTTTGGATAGGCTTGTAGTTTGTATACAGTGTACAAGATGTAATGTTAAAGTCATGGTTAGTACAGGTGGTGTAGGTGTGGCTAGATGGGGAGGTGGAGGCCACAGTTTGGATAGGCTTGTAGTTTGTATACAGTGTACAAGATGTAATGTTAAAGTCATGGTTAGTACAGGTGGTGTAGGTGTGGCTAGATGGGGAGGTGGAGGCCACTGTTTGGATAGGCTTGTAGTTTGTATACAGTGTACAAGATGTAATGTTAAAGTCATGGTTAGTACAGGTGGTGTAGGTGTGGCTAGATGGGGAGGTGGAGGCCACTGTTTGGATAGGCTTGTAGTTTGTATACAGTGTACAAGATGTAATGTTAAAGTCATGGTTAGTACAGGTGGTGTAGGTGTGGCTAGATGGGGAGGTGGAGGCCACTGTTTGGATAGGCTTGTAGTTTGTATACAGTGTACAAGATGTAATGTTAAAGTCATGGTTAGTACAGGTGGTGTAGGTGTGGCTAGATGGGGGAGGTGGAGGCCACAGTTTGGATAGGCTTGTAGTTTGTATACAGTGGATAAGGATGTCATGTTAAAGTCATGGTTAGTACAGGTGGTGTAGGTGTGGCTAGATGGGGAGGTGGAGGCCACTGTTTGGATAGGCTTGTAGTTTGTATACAGTGTACAAGATGTAATGTTAAAGTCATGGTTAGTACAGGTGGTGTAGGTGTGGCTAGATGGGGAGGTGGAGGCCACAGTTTGGATAGGCTTGTAGTTTGTATACAGTGTACAAGATGTAATGTTAAAGTCATGGTTAGTACAGGTGGTGTAGGTGTGGCTAGATGGGGAGGTGGAGGCCACTGTTTGGATAGGCTTGTAGTTTGTATACAGTGTACAAGATGTAATGTTAAAGTCATGGTTAGTACAGGTGGTGTAGGTGTGGCTAGATGGGAGGTGGAGGCCACTGTTTAGATAGGCTTGTAGTTTGTATACAGTGTACAAGATGTAATGTTAAAGTCATGGTTAGTACAGGTGGTGTAGGTGTGGCTAGATGGGGAGGTGGAGGCCACTGTTTGGATAGGCTTGTAGTTTGTATACAGTGTACAAGATGTAATATTAAAGTCAAAGTTAGTACAGGTGGTGTAGGTGTGGCTAGATGGGGAGGTGGAGGCCACTGTTTGGATAGGCTTGTAGTTTGTATACAGTGTACAAGATGTAATGTTAAAGTCATGGTTAGTACAGGTGGTGTAGGTGTGGCTAGATGGGGAGGTGGAGGCCACTGTTTGGATAGGCTTGTAGTTTGTATACAGTGTACAAGATGTAATGTTAAAGTCAAGGTTAGTACAGGTGGTGTAGGTGTGGCTAGATGTGGAGGTGGAGACCACAGTTTGGATAGTCTTGTAGTTTGTATACAGTGGATAAGGATGTCATGTTAAAGTCATGGTTAGTACAGGTGGTGTAGGACTTGGTTAATGAATTGCCAACATGGTATATTGTTCTCACCATCAATACATGTACATCAATAAAGTAACCTCATTCCAACTGTTGAATAAATATGTTTGTTTCTGTCCATTTATGCTTTGAAAATATAATCTGTTTCATAGAAGTAGATACTAGTAAGTACTAATATCTTGAGTTTACTTTAATCTTTTTCCTTTCTTGTGTCATTCTTTGCAACCATTATGAGGGAAATATATTATTTAAATTTACTTCAGTCTTTTGTTGTCATTCATACCCAAGTCAGTTTCACCCCAGGTGACTCCAGAAATGGGCTTCCCATGTGGGATTTGAACCTCTGTCCTCAGTCTGATGGGAAATGCTTCACCCACCAGGCTACCCATCTGCCCTACCTAAAGTACATGTAGGTGTGAGCTAAACAAGAATATGTGGTGGCACTGACCAAATGTGTGTTCAGAAGGTGAAAACTTGAAAACAAGAGCTGTTTGCTGTTTGTTGTTTTTAGTTGCGCCACCTATCAGTGATTATTTCAGCTGTATCACAGTTGTGTGAAATAAGTCCATAATCCATGTACAAAGTCACATAATCCCTGAATCCCCTCATGCACACGTTCCTGTGGACGTCATCTAGCAGGGGCTGTCCATGGGGGTAACTTTCAAGACAAGCAAAGGAAGGGTTGTGCAACACACAATGTTGATTCTAAAGAGACCATAAATCAATCAAAAACATTAGAGAGATGAATATGTTTGAATGTCTGAGATCACTTTATTCATTGTTAGGATTTGCTACACATGTTCATAATTGAGATCACCCATTAATAGAATTTCTAGGTGTGTAATTCAATTTATCACCTTTGACCAGAATATAATTTGCCAGTTTGCCATGATTAGTAGATCAGTTTTTATCCAATATGATATTGTTTCTCATCCTCAGATGTAGGTCTTTGCTCAAGCTATCAACCACTAATGTGTCTGACTCACTTACAGCCATAATGAATTTGTGAGGAGTCAATGATATCTTGCTTGGTTTGCTTGAGAATTGGAGCTATAGGTCTCTGGCCTGTACCTCTAGGCACAGCAAACCAATGTTCGACATCATGACCCCCAAATGATGCTGGAGTAGGTAATATGCAGTTAACCAAGACACTGGGTCCATATAGTAATGTTATAGGCAAATCATATATTGTTTGTGGTCCCTTCTTTCCCAGAATCCCAGAAGAGTAATAAGTATATTTTGACATATCCTCAAATGTAAAAAATATATGGTTCAGAGAATGTTAACTGTTGAAATTTGTTTACAGGGAAAACAGTTTTTAAAAAATCGTTTTATTCCACATTGCTGTAATTCAAGTTCATTAGATCCATTAGGGGAGACATTCACAAAAACAAAACACTCCCTCCAAAAAGTGTACTTGGGTATAGCACATATCCTCTAATGTGAACAATATATACTTCCAAGAATGTTAACTGTTGAAATCTGTTATGAAACTTAAAACATAGTTTTCGAAATGTGTTTTCTACCACATTTCTGTAATTTTAGTTCAATGGATCCATTAGCTAAGCCAATCCCCAAAACAAAACACTCCCTCAAAAGTTAAAGTGTAGTTGGGTAAAACACAAGGAAGTAGCCATAATCTGAGTCTGTATTAGCAGAGACCATATAATCTATTATTTCATCTGTGTTAAGATTGAGGCCTACGTGGAGTTTAAGACCTTTCGCTCTTGTACCAATTCAGTGTGTGCCTGCATAAACTGAGAAACCAAGTTCGATAAAATGAATACTCAACTCAGATATAGTATGACCAGAAATTATTGAGAATTTTAGGAATATGTTTAGTTGGAATTCTAGTATAAACAACC